TAGCAAAATCGTCCTCACACCACAGATTTACGCCGCCAGAGCACAACAATTTCGCCCAATCACCAGAAATTCGCGTCTGACATTGCTGATTTGCCCTTTCAGACCACAAGATTCGCCCTCCCTGACGCAAAAACTCGCCCAATCACCACAAGATTCGCCTAATCACCACAAGATTTGCCCTGATTCGCCTAATCACCACAAGATTCGCCCAATCACTACAAGATTCGCCTAATCACCACAAGATTCGCCTACTCACCACAAGATTCGCCCCGACACAAGATTCGCGTCTGACATTGCAGATTCGCCGTCAGAGCATGTTATTCCGAAATCCCCTTAGTCTAGCATGTTTCAATATCAGATGAATGAAAAATTGAATACATTTCTGATGAACATGGTATACATTGATTTCGAATGTTCATACTTTTTTTTTTAGACACTCTGAAATTTCAGCCTTTTTTTATACCAACCTTGAAAGTTTCAGACTAAAACTGTGTACTAGTCTGACGAATCAGACAGGCCAAAAACGAATCTGAGGGCCTGCAACCTTACCACACTGACCATTTTTCGTGTTGCTGTACAAGCAACACTGACGAATCAGTAAAGTAACGTGAGTCACACTGAAACGGATGTGACCGCGTGGGGTGGGGAGGGGGGGATAGGGTGCGCGTCTACAGTCTGTACCTTCCCGTGATTCACGAAACCCCACCCACACACGTGAAATCGCATGTGCTACACAGATATCAGGTGCGCGCCGAAGTCAGGGCTCTCGTTATCAGACCATTTTGGTCTGATGGTTTGAATTTCAGACATATTTTTTTTAATATTCATCTGATTTTCCAATCCAGATCAGACAAAACCATTTTTTTGGCATGAGGGACCCGTCTGATGAATCAAACGCCCTCAAATCCTAGCAAGAGCCCTGGCCTAAGTGTTTAGCCTCGCTGTAACCTATCACAGCAACAACACCACACACCTTGTACTTGTGTTTCAGCTATAGTTTTTTTTACACTGTTGGTTCAGTTTACTTATGATTTTTACACTGGCAAAACCAGTACAAAAAAAAAAAAAAAAAAAAAAAAAAACAACAACAACAACAACAACAACAACAACAACAACAACAACAACAACAACAACAACAACAACAACAACAACAACAACAACAACAACAACAACAACAACAACAACGTGAGCACTGATTTGGACACCTCGTTGGCCGGGGCACGCTGATCCATCAGCATACCCTCAAACCAATATAAGGGCATGGCACACGCTCTTTTACATCTCATACCGCCTGGTATCCAGGGCATCAGATTTCAGTGAGAAAAGGCTGATTTGGGTTAGAAAGGTTGAGATTTCATGCTTGTTTTAGAAGCAGGGCTGATTTTTCAGCATTTTTTCTGAAAGAAGTAGGAAAAACTATGAGATTTATGGTGTAAAATGGCATAAAATGACATATTTGTACCAACTCTGATTGATCAGCCTAGCCCAAAACTGTTGGTGTAAGGGCCTAATAAACTCAAGCTATTAGGACTTAATCAAACTTAAAACCTCTCCTCGGGGTCACCTCCAAGGGTCCCTGGGTGCCTGGTACAAGACCAGCCCCTATCCTCGGGTCCGAGTTTGTAGAGAGAGGGATCAAGAAGGACTTAGTCAAAACAGCAAGAGTACCTTGAACGTCGCGCAGCGTGCCGTGCAGACCGTCGGTCGGATTAAGCTGAGAATTCGCTATATCGAAGCTCGCTCCAAGAGCTTTAAAATGAGCCAAGTTGCCTCGCGAAAAGTTCTGCCATTACTAAGTTCTGGCTCGGACAGCGTTTGCCTAGCGTTGGAGTGCTAGCATAGTAGCGTTGACTCGGGTAGCATTCCGCCGTCGAATAGCGCAGAAACGAAATTCCAGCGAGGAAGGAATTCGCTTGAATCAATTTGACTATATTCAGGTACAAACAGAGAAGGATTAAATAGTTCTAGCTAGCAAGGACCTTGGGAATCAACCTGGGAACAACCAGGGATGATCCCAAATAATTCCAAGCAACAGAACCAACCTGGCTAGACAAAATAGCAGGTGGTAGGTTGGTAAACAACCTCTGGTTCTGTTTTTCCAACCTGGGAAAACAACAACCAGGTTCAGGTTCTAAAAACAGAACCTGTTTTGTCTTTGCCCAACCAGCCAAATGCTGGTTCCGCTGGTTTCCCCTGGCCTTGTAGCATGCAGATACAGACAAACAACATCCAACCTTCACCTAAATTGTACTCCTATAGTGCCTTCCCTGCTACACTATAGTTAACCAAACAAAACAGTACAATTCCGAGTTGGATAGAACTGAATCTGCGCAATCAACTCAACCGAACTGCAAAGCTTCCATCTTGGGTTCCTTTGCGAGCTCGTCCTTTCTGCTTGCACTGTTCATAGCGCATACAATGTTGTGCCGAAGCGCACATTGCGCGAGTACCTGCAAATGCATCAAGCGAAAAATGCGAAAGCAAACAAACACACGAACACACCATTCATACGCAAATGCATTCGCACACGCATACTCGTACAAACAGATGGCAGGATGTCGTGCAATGTGCATTTGCACCCAACAAAAACCAATATGAGGCCCTGCTGGTATCATATTCAATTTCTTTGTTAACCCTGCAATTTTAAGGTAGTTTGGTGGCACGGGTTGGCTGGTACAGTGGGTTTGTTGATTCAATCATGCCCGATTTCGATAGTTACTGTTTTTTACTCGCATGAAGTCCATGGATACCCGCTTGCACACCAAACGGAATGCTAAACTTATGGATCAGGAGGCAGATAACAAAATGATGGTGCAAGTGGCAGCGATGCAGAAAAGCTAGTCTTTAATGACGGAAGGGGAAACATTACGTAGAGAAAACGCCGAGCTACGCCGGACGCGAGATGAAGCATGTCAGGAGTCGCCTGAAGAAGAAGGCGAGGGGAACAGTCAAGCGGTGAATAATCCGTTGGACGCGCTCACACGTGACTTTGAAGAAGACAGGCAGCGAGCGGCAGCAGCGCCAGTTGCAGTAACGACGATCACACCCCCATTCAATCTTACGGATAAGACAATTACAGTGAAGGGGTGGCTCTTCTATGTTAAAGTCTTCTTCACTACAGCGAAGTCAACGACGGTGTCACGCGTATTAATCACGCGGTATCTCTTTTGCGAGGCGCAGCACTTGGATGGTAGCGCCTAACCTTAGACACTGGGACTCCGACACGTGTGACACATGTGGCAGACAGGACCTCGACATTGGCTAATCAAGTGGCAACATCAATCTTCGAAGTAACCAAGATACGCACGTTGAAGGAGTGGGGCGCAAGATGCCGAAGGTTCTTGCTCGAAGCGATCTCAAAATACGAGATACGGTCCAAGATGCGCCGATATCACCCGACTTCGTTCTTGGAAGCTGTACGGTTGGCCGAGTCTACAGACGAGATAAAGCTTTATGCGAGGGCAGGTTTTCGGCAGGGAGACCGTAATTGCTTCCAGACCCAACGGGCCACAATCAACGGAGTCCAAGCACCTAACTGCCCCATTAAAGGGACATGTTATACGTGTGGGAAGATGGGTCACTACATTAGAGACTACCCAGACAAAACGCCGCCAAAAGGGAACAACAGGAAGGAGCAGGGAAATAAAAAGAGCCATTAATTAATGGGACCCTTACTGACTGTGCTCCGTCGAGTTGTGGTTCTAATGTATGCAATCGATCGCACTTGGCCGAAAAACGGAGATAATCATGGGGATCACCCTGTGCTGGTCGCCGGAAAGGTGTTAAAGTACAAAAATGTTCGTCGACGAAGGGGCTGGCCATAGCCTCTTCAACTTGGTGACAGCAAAAAATGCAAGCTGCAACTTGACAGGTGTTTTCCCGAAATCGACGCTTGCCTAGTAGATGGGACGCCTCTAGATTTTGGAGGGAACACTGACGATGCGGATTGAATGCGGCGACAATTTCGGCTTTAGCATGAAGTTTCTCGCGACGATGCTAGATCCACGGTACTGGGACATGATTGGCTGCGACAGCACAACCCTGTCATTGACTGGTGTTGGTGCAACCCCATGGTTTGAACTTGGCTGTTGTCCGTGTACATGCATGGATTGGCATGAGGGCATAAGGTAGTGTATATTTCATGCTTAGAATAGTGTGCCAATAATGAGTCATGATGTTGAGTTTGTATGTCAAGTTGATATCGATATTTGCGTGTCCTGTCGTCATTTCTGTGTCATGCTCATTTTTTATTTTGTCGTGTGTCCAATGTTCGGCGTATCGCACGTGTGAGCAGCAGACATTCAAGAATATTTACATTACAATGTGTAGTGTAATATTTCTCTTGGTGTAGGCCTTTGTGGAGGTTTTTTTTTTTCAAGACCCTTCGTGGTTGGGGACAGTGTGGCACTGTTTCTCATCACTCTACCTCGGCTCTTGGAGTTTGTTGAGGCTGGAAGTCATTCCCCGCTTCTCATTCCCCACTTGTAAGTTAACTTATCCTAATTTGTGTTCAAGACTACAGTGGCTGCTCTAGTGCCGTTTGTTCAAACTTACATTGCGTCGTCATTTTTTCATGAAATTGTGCGATTCAAATCGTCTATTGTAAGTGAAGTCAAGGCGCTCTAGATCTAATTTATAGCATGTCATTCAGAGCTGTGACCGAAATGCTATGAACGTTTACAACAGCTATGCAGAAATCCGATTGTGCACTCTATCCTTCAACATATTTGACCATAATGACCTACCGGAGGTGATGGAAGGAACGAAGAAGCGTCCCGAGAAAGGGGCGCACGTTAGGTAACGCACGGGGTGCACGCTAGGCAGTGAATGGTGCACGCGCTGGGCAGTGCACGGGGTGCACGTGGGGCAGCGTACGGGGCGCGCGCGGGGCATGGAGCGGGGCGCTCGCTAAACAGAGCACGGAGCACACGCGGTGCATTGAACAAGGCGCGCGTGGGGCGGCGAACGGGGCGTGCGCAGGGCATCAAATGCGGCACGAGCTAGGCACCGCACGCTGCGCGAGCAGGGCTGCAAACGAGGCGCACGTTAGGCAGCACGAATGGCATGCGTGAGGCAACGCGAAGGGCGTGGCTCGTCTGAACGGGAAAAGTGGGGAGAAAAGTCTGGAGAAGAAAGGACAGACGTGGAAAGGTGGGGCAAGAGGGGATTGGTCTTGGGGAATAATGGGGGGAGCAAGAGGGCAAGAACTCGTTCACAGGGCAAAGGGAGAAAGACGAGTGGCAGGTAGAATAGAGTCCGAGTACCACAGACTCATTTGGGAGGAAGGGGGTGGGAGTGGCGGGGGGTAAGGTGGTACACAGGGGAAGCAAGACAACAAGAGGGTGGAAATTGTGGGAAGAATGCGAGTGGGGAGGGCAGGAGGCAGATGGGGCGGGGGGGCTTGCCTTGACGACGACGGTGGGGTTGGCGGATGAGCAGTTGGCAGCGGGGTCGTGCGGCTCATGCGGCAGCTCTATGCTCCACCCCGCCTGCCGTGGGGTGCCATTGGGGAGGGAGCGGCGGGTGCAGCTTGAAAAGGCGGAAAGTTGGGAAGCGAGGCATTGAGGGGAATTGCGGGAATTGTGGTGGAGAGAAGGCAGGGGCTGTGAGGTAAGGGCAGTGTAGAGGGGGCAGGGCGATGACGGGAAGGGGGGACCTTCAAGGAGGCAGGAGGCTAACGAGGAGAGGAGAGATGACCAACTTGGGGAATGATCACTGGGAGGGGCGACGGGGGGGATGCGGGAGGGAGAGGCGAGGGGAAAGCGAGTGGGACCTGGCGGTTGGGGAGGCGGATGCAGCCGAGGAGGAGCAGCGAGGTGGCAGTGACGGCCAGCAGCAGCAGCGCGACGCCCATCTGCACCGCCGCCATCGCCCCGCACGCCCACCGCTCGCCCGCCCACCGCTAGCGCCAGCGCGCGCGCGACAGCGACAGCGGGCGGGCGCCGGGGCTGGCGGCCTTGGCGGCGTCCGCGGGGCGCCAGAGCCCCCCCCAGGCGCTTAGCGGAGATGGCGACCCACGGCGAGCCGTGCGCGTGGTGCTTCATTGGCGCTCCTCATTGACTCCTCATGCTGCTACGTACACGTACGGAACAATGCGCCTCGCCTGGGTGACTATGGCGAGGATGGGAGGACACGCGGATGGATAGAGGCGGAGTGGGGTGGGGAATATGGAGTGTGGGGAATGGGGTAAACAGGCATGGTCCATGCTGCATGGAGGTATAGGGGGAATAAGAGAGAGGGGGTAATATGGGAAAGCTAGAAATACTGGAGAGTGAGTGAGGCAGAGACACAGAAAGGGTAGATAAGCGAGTAAGGCAGAGAGGGGAAAGGGTAGAGAAGCGAGTAAGGCAGAGAGGAGAAAGGGTAGAGAAGCGAGTAAGGCAGAGAGGGGAAAGGGTAGAGGAGCGAGTAAGGTAGAGAGGGTAAAGGGTAGTGAAGCGAGCAAGACAGAGAAGGGAAGGGGTAGAGAAGCAAGTAAGGCAGAGGGGAAAGGGTAGAGAAGCGAGTAAGGCAGAGAGGGGAAAGGGGAGAGAAGGGAGTAAGGCAGAGAGGGGAAAGGGTAGAGGAGCGAGTAAGGCAGAGAGGGGAAAGGGGAGAGAACAAGGGAAGGGGAGAAGGGAAAGGGTATAGTTGTTAGGAGAAAGGGTGGCGAGGGGAGTAACGCAGAGAGGAGAAAGGGTGGCGAGGGGAGTAGAGAGGGGGAAGGGTGGAGAGGGGACTAATGCAGAGGGGAACGGGAAGAGAGGCGCTGTTAGGCAGAGATGGGAGTTTAGGGGGGGAGGGGAGAGACGGAAGGAAGAGGGGAGGAAAAGAGTGAAGAGGGGGAAGAAGGGAGTGAGGCGGAGACGGGAGTACACAGAGATGCAAGGGAGACATTTGAAACGGGTACGATTTGAGGGGGGGAAAGGAGGTGCTTTATGACATGGAATTTGCGCTGCACAGGGGGCGGTGCAGCGCGACTCCACCGCGCTGCGCAGGGGGCGCAGCCGCGCTGCGCAGGGGGCGCTGCCGCGCTGCGCAGGGGGCGCTGCCGCGCTGCGCAGGGGGCGCTGCCGCGCTGCGCAGGGGGCGCTGCCGCGCTGCGCAGGGGGCGCTGCGCCGCGCCTTCCACCGTGCATGCTCGCTGCTTATTCCGCGCCGGCGACCTTTTCGCTACTTTCACCCCCGCGCCTTCTCGCTGCTTACCCGCTCGCATATCGCTGCTTAACCCCTCACAAATCGCTGCTTACCCTCTCTCACTTTTTTGCTCGCATCCCCCACGCACCTCCGCGTTATCGCTGCTCTTTCGAGACCGCGCCTCCACGCCGCGTCGCTGCTCACTCCGCGTCCGCGCCTCTCGCGAAATCGCTGCAGCCCCAGTCCAGGCCACGCCCGTCGAGTGCGGCTCACACCCGACCGCCTCTCGCACGAAATCGCGAATTCTCCCATCCGTGCCTCGCGGCTCCTCGCTGCTTTCTTGCCTCAACCTTTACGCACTTTCCGCTTCTAAAACACGTCCACCTCGCGCCCACCAGATGCTCGATAAACGCCTGACAGAATCTACCTCCACGATGGCTTAGGTTCTAACTAGCGCTATGGATGGGAGGTTCGAGAAATGGTTGTACGCGGGCGACGTGGGCAAGACACTAAGTCTGTCTTAGCGACTATATTCTCAGCTAGCACATGATAGGGACTCAGCCGGGCGTTTGTCCCGCTGGCACTTTGAGTTCAAGCTTCTGTACCTTGTATTATTGCTAGGAACTCCTGTACTTTTGTTCATGAGCATTTGTGCTCAGGAAGGTTGGTTGGGGCAAGAGACGCGACTGGCTTGCAAACCAGGGTCGTCGTCTAAGGGCGTGTAATTTTTCACTTTCCATCGTCAAGAAGATGACCCCACTTTTGTAGGGTTACTAATGTCATCAAACATCGTTTGGAAATTCGCAAGGCCCTCTGCGGCGTCGCTACACTCCGGACCAAATCTGACACTTTTCTGCCAAAAAAGTGATCCGGTCTACCCTGCTGATTAGGGCGCGTCCCCTCCCTCGATCGATCGCGAGATTGACGTGAAAACCCGATCGGGCATACCGATCGCAGGATTGGGGCAGAATTGGTAGGAGGTGACAGTCACAGATCGATCTCGAGCCCAGGGATACAGGATCGAGAATTCAAGGGGAAAAAAACTAGCGATCCTACAAAAGCCGAGATCGGTGTGGCCACGAGGGCATATCGATCGTCATCAGCAGAGGTGACAAGAACGTTGGGCCCCAGTTACTATACATTCGCTAGCCATCTCGAAATAAGGTTACCTTGTCAAATGCGACACTGTACCTGTCCCTCGATCGATCGAGGGTCGGATCGATCGAGGAGGGGACGCGCCCTGAAACCGTCCGAACGGCATATCGGACCGTCCACTTTGGCTGCGCTATCATTGGCGCGCGAAGTGGGTACAACCACAACCAGTACCGCGCCGCAAATTTTGTATAAAGATACTTGCGAGAGCTTTACGGAATCAGTAATTCGTGTTACGGCGATTATTTTTCGAAAGTGCAAATAAATTTCACATTTGTGGTCCGGTCGGGCAGTCGTCCTGACCTGATTCTCAATCGTCCAGACGGAGCTCCGTCCGGCCGATTTGGGGGCTCCGTCCGAACATTTGCCAAAAATGAAAAAAAAAAAATGCACGCCCTAAATCTGCGGTCGCGGGTTGCAAGGCATAAAATTTGTAACCAGATCTGGAATGTAAGGCGTGATTACGTCCCATGTGTGTACATTAGGGCGCGTATCTTCCTGCAAAAAATGTCGAAGTTCGAGCCAATTATCGCTTTGTAACGTGGCAAAACGTTTTTTATTTGTTTTTTACCATGTACAACCACTCTTGAAGCTCGAATTTGGCAAAAGTTCGACCTCAAGGACACGCGCCCTTAGCGAATCAGAGATTCGGCGACATCACTTTGCATGTGCTAGGGGGGAAGAGCGAACACGATCTCCAGACTAGGCTCCCCTCCCCCACCTGGAGGTTCAGGTTCTGCGCCCGGAGCAGCACATCCCGCGCACGTAGCGGAGTGACCAGGGAGTCCCTGATGCGCCTCCCTCGGTCCCAATCAATCTTCCTGCCCGCCCGAGCTTCCCAGCTCGCCCTCTTCACCTCTACTGCCTCCGCATCCTTGCCCAGCCCCCTGAGTCGTTTCAGCGGGGCCACCTTGTCCTCCTCAGACAGGGACGAGCCCAGCAGCCGCGCCCTGGCATCTCCAACCTCCCTTACAGCTCGTGTCTTGGAGAACACCACTGGCACCACACTGTCACACCCCAGCACAATCTTCACCTTCCATGCCGCTCGTTCCCCGTTACCGTCAAGGCCACATAGCTCGACCTTCCTTCCCATGCAGGCGCAAATCTCCCACAGACATCTCTGCCGCAAAAGCCTTTAGCGCCATCTCTGCTTCTTTCGCCCCCCCAAGTTCTCTCGCCAGCGTTTCTTTTGACTTCAACACCACCGTGCCGTCCCACTTCCGTAGAACCATATCCCGCATCTTCCACTTGCTCAGCTTCTCAGTGCCTTTCTGTCCGCCGAAAGGGGCGTTCCCCCGGTGGATAATCCGCTTGTTGAAACAGATGAACTCCTCTGCCACCTCCCATCTCGACGCCGCCTCCTTCACCTCCACCACCGTCGATTTAAGCACCGCTTTAAAAATTCTCGCCCACCTCCTGCTCTGAATCAAACTCCCTTTTAACACCGCTTTGTGCGCGTACAGCGTCGCCCACCCCAGAGGCATACCCGCTGCTCTTTCCGCCATTCCACGTCGTAAGGAACTCTCTTGCAACAGCGTCAACCCCGCGCACCGTAAGGCCACACTATCGATTCTTCCACGTAGGTCGATCACTCCCAGCCCCCCCAGCTCTCTCGGCGCGTAAATCAGTCCGCTGCTCCATAGTCTGAAATGTTTTTCCGTATCCGCGTGGTTTCGTGACACAGAATTCTCAACCAGCTTCTCCACCCTTCTCCACCACATGTCGTCTGGAGGATACACCTGCGCCTGGAAGAGGAAGATCGGGATGATATAGCTGTTGATGATGGCCACCCTCGCCCCCGTCGTTAAATACTTTACTTGCCATTTACTCAACTCCCCTGCTGCCCTGTCAAAAGCCTTTTCCCACGTAATCTCTGCATCTCCCCCGGGTGTTATCCACACCCCCAGTAACCTTTCTGCAATCTCTTTCTCCACCCACTTGTAGCCCAGACCAGTCGGCGCCGGTTCCCCCACGTTCTTCACCAGCGGCAGCACAGAGGACTTCCCGGTGTTCACCTTCAGCCCCGACACTGCTGCGAAGTCTTGAAGCACCGCGCCCGCCGCCGCTAGTTGTGCCTCTCCTTCCAGCAATAGCGTTGTGTTGTCTGCGTATCCCACGTACGCGAGTCTTTCACAGCCCTTCTCTCCAATCCCCAGCTCCCTCTTCTCAACCAAGCGGCTAAGTGGCTCCACCGCACACAGAAACAGGTACTGCTGCTGCTGCTGCTGCTGCTGCTGCTGCTGCTGCTGCTGCTGCTGCTGCTACTGCTCTTGCTACTCCTCCACCTCAGGTTCTCCCCCATCCTCAGTCACCCTAGAGATCTTCTCCTCAGAAACAGAAAACTCGACTTGCCTCGAAGGCTGCTGCACTTCATCGGCCTCAACAATCAGCGGTGTAGTAGGAAGCTTCTGCTGCTGCTGCCTCGGGGAACTTCACATCCCTTGACAAAGTCAGCCTTTGGCAGTTCCTGTCAGAATATTATGCTCTAGCCTGTAGTGGGGTGCTCTATAGCGAGTACAACCCTTCTAGGGTTTGCTATTTGTATCCCCATTCTTACTAGTGCAACTCCTCTTTGCCTAAACTTCTCTTGCCTAGCTAGGGTTCTCCTAGCTATGGCTCCTAACTATCTTTACTATCTCGACATGCTATCAGAGCAGGTCGATCCCTTTGGATCGATCCTGTGGGTGGGCTCACCACCTCGTTGCTTCCGCTGCAACTTCCGCTGCTACTCTATGTGCCGCACGCCCCGTGGCGTGCGGCAGTTTTTTCTTCCCGC